CCCGGACTGGTCTGGACGTGTGTACCAGCTTGTGTTTGTTAGTCATTCCTGGTTATGGTTTTCATTGGGACTTTATCTACTTAACAGTTGTTTTTTTTTTTTATTTGGGCAGTGGAGTTTCCCTTTAAATTGTTTAGCTTCTCTTATTGCATTATTATTTGCAACTCACTTCACTGACAAGATCTCTACAATCAGAGAAGAGATCTCTCATCTTTCTTCTTCCCCTTACAATATTTCCCCTAACGTCACTCCCTCTGCTGTTCTATGTTCATTCGCACCCGCTACATTGGAAGAGGTTTCTGCTCTGCTCCAGTCCTCCCACCCCACCACCTGCTCCCTAGATCCAATTCCCTCGCATCTCATCCGTACTCTGTCTTCTTCTATTTCTCCACCTCTCACTAAAATTCTCAATCTCTCTCTCTCCTCTGGTATATTTCCATTGCCCTTCAAAGATGCAACTGTAACCCCAATTCTAAAGAAGCCCAGTATTGACCCTAACTCCCCATCCAACTATCATCCTATCTCGCTACTGCCTTTTGTATCCAAGATCCTTGAAAAAATTGTTTATGCGAGATTGACAGACTTCCTCGAGTCCAACTTTCTGCTAGTATAGGAAAAAAGGGAGGAAACCGCGCCTTACATAAATTATATATACATACACTTGATGTCTCTTGGTAGTTTCGGATAATTTATCCTCAAAAAGAAAACAGAAAGAGTATACACAATAGTGTAGTATGTTAAACAATATTAGAAAAAAGTGATAAATAAAACGGAGGTATTTTTCACTCACATTTGGTAGAGCTACTGTGGGAGCTCTACCATAATTGGCATGGACGGTACAATCCCCGTCTTAGGATAAGAAGTCCAACGTCTTAGGTACTCCAATGGTGTGGTAGTTCGGAAAAAAATGGAAAACAAGAAACTCCAATAGTGTAATAGTTCCAACTCCAAGTATAAATGGATAAATAGAAATATATATACTCACATTTACTAGAGCAGAAAACTTGCTCTAGTATATAAGGCTTGCAGTGGTATAATCCCCACTGTAGGATATACAGGTCAGGAAGTTAGATGGTGCAAATAAAATATAATGAAATGGAATATAGCTTTAAAAGATATATATTTAATAATGTAACAAATAGAATAAAATAAAAGCTATATAAAAGGCTGGGAATCCTTGTATTTGTTACTGCTGCCTATCTTATTGTTTATTTTTTGGAGTGAGCACCTGACACATCTCTTCTTTTTCCAACTTTCTGCTAGACCCGCTTCAGTCTGGTTTCCGCACTAAGCACTCTGTGGAAACGGCACTGACCAAAGTATCCAATGATCTACTCGCTGCAAAGTCTCGTGGTCACTACTCTATCCTAATTCTCCTTGACCCGTCTGCGGCTTTTGACACTGTTGATCATCAACAGCTTCTTCTCATCCTCCGCAATATCGGTCTACAAGATATTGCTCTCTCTTGGTGCTCCTCCTACCTCTCCCAGCGCTCTTTCAGTGTTTCTTTCTCTGGCTCTGCTTCTCCTCAACTCCTCTCTGTTGGTGTCCCCCAAGGTTCAGTCCTTGGTCCCCTACTGTTCTCCATCTATACTACCTCCCTTGGTAAACTCATTAGCTCCTTTGGCTTCCAATATCATTTCGATGCAGATGACACGCAAATCTACCTGTCCTCTCCTGATCTCTCCCCGTCCCTCTTGACTAGTGTCTCTGACTGCCTCTCTGCTGTTTCTAACTGGATGGCTGCCCACTTCCTTAACCCCTTAAGGACACATGACATGTGTGACATGTCATGATTCCCTTTTATTCCAGAAGTTTGGTCCTTAAGGGGTTAAACTAAACTTGACCAAAACTGAAATTCTGGTCTTTCCTCCCTCAAGTGTTGTTACTCCTGTGTCTGTCTCCCTCCAAGTCAACGGTGCTACCATCAGCTTCACCACGCAGGCTCACTGCCTAGGTGTTCTCTTTGACTCCAACCTCTCCTTCAAGCCTCATGTTCAATCTATCGCCAAATCCTGTCATTTCCATCTCAAAAACATTGCGCGCATCCGCCCCTACTTAACGCCAGATGCGACTAAGGTGTTGGTCCATTCCACTGTCCTCTCTCGCCTTGACTACTGTAATCCACTTCTCAGTGGTCTTACGTGCTCCCAACTTGCGCCATTACCGTCCATAATGAATGCGGCGGCGAGGCTCATCTTCCTGTCCGCCCGCACCTCCCATGCCTAACCCTTCTGTCAGTCCCTACATTGGCTTCCTATAAAATATAGAGCTCAATTTAAAATTCTGGTTCTTGCTTTCATATCTCTACATAATGCTGCTCCCACCTATCTATCCTCCCTTATACATAAGTATGTCCGATCTGCTGAAGACTTACGTCTATCTTCTGTCCATACTCCCACCTCTGATGCTCGCCTTCAAGACTTTTCCACCATTCCTGTGGAACTCGCTTCCCTCCTCCGTTAGATGCTCACGCAGTCTCCACTCCTTCAAAAAATCTTTAAAAACCCACTTCTTCATAAAAGCGTATCAATTAAACTGTTAATAGCTCCTGACTGATTCCTCTTCTGCAACTGTCACTAGTCTAATACTATCCTTACCTTTTGTGTCATTTTACCCCACTCCCTCTAGCATGTAAGCTCATTGAGCAGGGCCCTCAACCCCTCTGTTCCTGTATGTCCAACTTGTCTGGTTACAACTACATGTCTGTTCGTCCACCCATTGTAAAGTGCTGCGGAATTTGACGGCGCTCTATAAATATCATAATAATAATAATAATTAATTTTAAGAACTTAAATTAGAACTTCTAAAGAAAGCACAATGTACTATAAAAATTAAACTTTTTTTTTTCATGATTGCTATGTTAGTCCCAGCCAGGCAATGTGTGGCAAGGACTGCATAAACATGGTGATTTACCTCCTAAATGGCAGAGAATTGAGCAGTGAGACTGCAGGGACATGAGCTATACACCAAAACTGCTTCATTAAGCTAAAGTTGTTCTGGTGCTTAAAGCATAAATAACAACTCCTACCACAATCACTACTACTTAAATACTGGCAGTGTCTTTTCCTTCCTGCTTGTAGTTCACATGCCTTGAATAAATTAGCTGTGGCAAATGTGCCTATGCCACGAGCTCCTGGAGGAGCCTGCTAGCTAGCCTCCTGCCCAAGGACTATGGGCCGTATCCAAAGACCCTGTTCGGGAGTTAAACCTCCCCAGCCACCATTAGCATTTTTCCCTGGGTGCCCATGGTTCGGCACTTTCCCTTCTTTGGAATTGAACCGAATGCTAACTCCCTCGTTTGAAGTAACCCACGAATTGTCTTCAGCGGTACTTAGCCGCGAGCGTTATGGAACTAAATTCAGCATGAGGACTTTGTGGGTCCCGGTCACCTCTGCATGACCCAGCCGCAAATGTTATGGAACGGTATTCGGCTTGAGTTGACCGTGCGGTTCCCAGACAACTTGGTCCTGTGTTTTGAACAACTGTTTGGAGGGAAGGTGTCTGAGACTAAGGGGCACAAACGCTACCTAAGAGCCAGCCAGAGCACCCCATTTTTCGGAAGCAGAAGCTCGCAGAAGTTGACCGGCTAAAGCACCAAACGCCCTGGAACTGTTTTGGGAAAGGACCACATGTGCGGCTGGTCAGAACTTTAACACGGTGGCATTTCCCCTACACTGCATGGATCTGAGCACTATTTGGAGAACTTGGGCACTCAGATCAGCGCTATTTTGGGATGTATTATTTGTGGGGTTATTTTATGTTTTTATGATGTTTTAGGGTATTTTTATATTTTACATTTTTAGGTTTGCCTCTCTGTTCCTGTGAGATAATTAGCTTAACAGTCTTTAACGCAATTATCTCCCAGGCACTGAGATTTATGGGAGGCACTTGTCTTGCATTGAATGGAGACCCCATGCTGGGGGCTGTGTATAAAAAGCAGGCAACTTGGCCATAATAAACCAGTTCCTTTACACCCTTAACTCAGTCTTGACTAGTGTTTGGTTGTACCAGCTATACAGCTATACTCTCTGCAGGAAAACTTTAATCACTAGAAGCTGGATCCGAAGCGATGGTGAGACCCTGGCCAAGCTGCGATGGCTAGGGGCTGGAGTGCTGATGATGCCCAGCGATAGCTAGGGAGTGTGCTTGGCGAAGGTACCCAGTCAGTCATACTAATGTTTTCTTATGTTTTAGTGGATATGGACTAATGACATCTTACACTATAGCACCCTAGTCTTGTGTCCAGATATGTTCCATGTAAACTATGTCATGCATCCTTATCAAGAGCCTCATATGTGTGATTGAAATTCAATTAACATAGAAAACCTATAAAGTAAACACACTGTGCTGTAATACCAGATTAACCCCTTATGGACACAACTTCTGGAATAAAAGGGAATCATGACGGAATATTTCCGTCATGTGTCCTTAAGGGGTTAAACATATTTTCATGTTAGTTTTGTGAGTAACAGCCATGGGAGGTGTGGCTAGGACTGCATAATCAGAAACAAAAGTGATTTAATGGCTAAATGGCAGAGAAGTGAGACTTCAGAGATATGATGTATACACTAAAACACTTAGGGAAAATTGTTTAAGGTGCCTAGAGTGCCAGTTTAAAATATAAAAAAAAAAGTAAAAAAAAAAATTATTACATTAAAATTAATACTAAAATGATGCTGACCTATAAGGAATGACAACCCTATCAACAAATATAATAGCAAAAACATCCTTTTTTTTTTTTTTTTTTTAAACTAGTGAACATAAACGGTTTTGTTAGTATCTGCCTTAAATTCAGGTCTGTGATGTGTAACCAAATGAATGCAGAAACACTTCCACGGGTAGGTTTACAAGCCTCCTAGGAAATAGACAACCTTGTAATTTCCAATTGATCTCCAAATAAAAAAGGCACCATTCTCCTCCACCAATCAGAGACAATGCAGCTTGCAAGAGAGGAAACATTCATCAAGTTACACAGAGGTCCCATCTGTCAGTCTCCGCCTGTTTGTTTGAGTGAAAAGAAAGGGATGCAGACTATGCACATGTGTCTTGTTTTATCTTCACCTATTTTTTATATTGCAAATTGATGTCAATATTCCTTCTGAGTTGCGAGGCCTCTTTTTAATTTTTGTAGGGGTGTATTTTTGATGGACAAAATGCTAAATGGTCCTTGTCTGGCATACAAGAAGCTCTTGTGTGAAACCACTAACGTGAAGATGGCATTTTAGAAGGCTTGTCAGCTTAATCGTCTTGACAGGTTTGTGTGGTGTGAAGACATTCCGTTCAGGCATGACAAAGCTACAGAAGAAAGCAATATTTTGCCTGGCTGGCACATTAAGCTTTGCTTGTGCGATCGGAATCGCTGCTGCTCTTGGAACCCAGCTCTGGCTAAGAGGTACAATTCTCTGCAAGACAGGAGCCGTGTTAGTTAATGCTACTGGGGATGAGCTGAAGAAATTCATCGGGGAAATCCAGTATGGTCTTTTTTACGGACAGAGAATCAAGCAGTGCGGCCTCGGAGGACGACCCACCGCGTTTTCATGTTAGTATCCAATACAATATTGTGATAATTATTTCTAGATTTAGTAAAAAAAATTATGGAGCATAAATATTTTAAAATCATTTCTTTACTAAACTACTTAAAAAAAATAAAAATGAAATTATTGTAAATGATGAATTATTGTTTTATATTGTACTAAAATACAGAGTTGTTATTTTTGGTATTTATATAGCATCAACTTATTCTGCAACGCTTTACAATATTGTGAAAAGGGGGAAATTTAGCAATAAATTAGACAATTACAAATTGTTACAGGAACAATAGGTTGATGAGGAGCCTGCCCAAAGGAGCTTACAGTCTAGAGTTATTCACTAAAGTAGGAATTGACAGGAATCACAAAATCAAGGCACAAGTAGCAAAACTGGAAAAAGTCTGCATTTTAGCTGTGCTTTTATTTAGGCTATTTAATTTGTAATTCACCTTGATTTCCCTACAATTCTAACTTTATTTAATAAACCTTATTTTCGAAAATAGAATTTCCAGCAGTGATTGCTTCACTCAATTAGCACATGCGATCTTTATATACGAAATATACTGTCTCTTACAGGTTTTTCAGTGTTTTCTGCCCGTTATTATCAGAGATCAACTGAGTTGGTGAACTGCTTCAGTTTCAGGAAAACCTCGCTTTCTCAAGTGCTTTGGACTAGTTTTAGGGCTAGAGTCCTTTTAACTTTGTTAGGACAGGTACAGAATATGCATGTCTTGCCCTATTCAAATGTTATGTCCTGCCATAGATTGGTGGGAGTTACACTTCAGAGTGCCGCTGTTATTTGCAACTGCTGTCTATAAGTCAGCCCCTCTCACTTTAGGAGCATTCCAAGCACCATCGTAGGGGTTATGAGGTCAGGCACCCCCCTGGAACCCCCCCATGTAAGTAGTCAAACGGTTTGCTAACAGTTTGGCAACTTCCTTGAATCTTCTGGGTACCAGTCACCTCCTTAATGAGAGTCAGACTAAATCTGCATTAGCTTAGACCAGTAGTTCAGTGCTTAGCTCCTTGGCTAAGAGTGATCAGATGATGCTCTCAGCCAATGACTGCTTATACAGGGGTAGTGCCAGAGCACACTTGGCACCATAACAACTACAACAATCTTGGAGTGTTTTAAAACAATCTTTTAGTGATGTACCAGGAGAGGAGACCCAATGAAAGGAATAAAACGGTCTCTGTGTATCCCAGCCATATGGTAGAGTTCTGGGGCACATAACCTCAAAAGGTAAAAAATACCACACTGCGCCAATCAAATGCTCTTAATGATACCATCTGATTTAAATAACCGGGTTTGACTCTGCTATTTCTGTGGAAGGGCCCCCAGAGGCTGTCAAGATGAAGTGGTATGTGTGCCTGCCTCTAGATTCCCTTTAATGGTAGCTGCTTTGCAGTACTCCCACTACTTTGTCATGGAAGACCATGATAATTACACCTCTCTACCAATTTCTGTAGGTTCCATTAGTTAGTTGTTTTTTTATTTTATTTTTTGCAGTGCATATAGAGAAAAAAGACAAATAGGTTGAGAATGCCCCAACAGCCAAGGTAAGCACTTCAACAATAACAGTGAAATAGACAAGTGGCATTGTGAGAGTACAGCACTAGTTTTTTTGTTTTGGTATATTCAGGTGTGTAGGCTCGACCAAGAGAAAATAATAGCAAGACTTGTTAGACATAGATATTAGTTGTATAAAGAGAATATATGAAAACATGCTTAACTTTAGCCGACCTGTGGCAGGATGTAATACCATAGGCCCTTTAGTCCAGATGTGGACTGGCTTCTCCAGTTGAAGGGCGAGATCAGGGTCTCCCTCTGTTTCACAGGCATTTTGCAAGATCTAGCTGGTAGACACAGCTGGTGTGTCGCAGACGTTTTGGGAGTCCCGATGCTGGTCCATAGCGGTTCCCTCTTTCATGCAGCTTTGCATTGAGGCAAAGGGCGCTTCCTGCATCACTGCCATTTTGGGGCCCTGCGCTCTGTCGGAGCCGCAGTCTTCTGTGGCGGGTTTAGAGTCGGCGGTCGAAGGGAGTATCCTCTCAAGGCCCTCAGTCCGAGAGAACGGAGGCAAGTGCCAGACACTCCGGGATCCAGGTAAGCGGGCGATCAGGACTTTGGTAGCATGCATGGAGGAGCCGAAGTGTACTGCTGGGTCAAACAAGGAGTGGAGTGGTGAGGCTCAGGAGGAGAGTTGTGTACCGTGCTGATGTTCAGAGCATTCTCCGCAGCTTGGCTCAGCCTACGCTCCAGTTTCTCCCAAAATTCAGCAAAGATTGCATCCAATCTGAGCATGGTTGTCTCCATTAGGCCTTGTGTCGTGTGAATATGCATGGTGGCAGCCATTTTGACCGCGGCTGTAGAATAGGACTCACAGTATCAGAGTGTCTGCCGGGTCTTCTCTTGACCTTACCTAGGTGACTCAGGCCAATAGGCATGTGCTGGGATAACCCTCACCAGCGGGGGGGGGGGGGACAGGAACCCCAATTGTCAGGAATAACAGAGGGAAAAGCAGCCATCTCTTCCCAACTGCATCCACCTGCAGGCCACCAAGGAGTTTCGGAGTTAGACCACCGATCTGCCCGCAAAACTTTGCAAAATTTAGCTGACGGGCAGGCAGAGTGTTTCCATCACCAGTATCTTTGGTTTCTCTGAGTGAAAGATCGATTAAATTGTCAACTTTGGAGTTGTTCTGCGGAGCTCACTCCATATGTGGCTGTTCACTATGGCGGTCAGGCCCAGCCCCTGGTTCCATTAGTTTTAATGGTGATTTTTGCAATTGCAATTTTTTTGCAATTTTTACAATTTAGCATGTTTTTATCACGATAAACCCACCTTCCCCCCAAATATTTTTCAATACCACCTTGGAGCTTGGCAGATCTTGAACACACATCATATTTTTATCCTGATAAGAAGCAAATGAAGAAGGTTGTTCTGTAATATGCATCATTTATATGCAGGAGGAACATGATTTAATTAATAATGGCACTATTACGTAACTCTGAGGTTTAACCAGGAACCACCCAGGGCTAGCGCGTTCATAAGGCGGCACTGGCACGGGGGGTGCTAGATTAGAGTGATCAGAGGAGGGAAGCGCACAGCGCTCCCTCCTACCTGTAACTCAGTGTAGCATGGACGAGTGGAGTGCACCGCAGTACAGGAGCTTCTGTTTCCTGTACCCACCCCGACTGACAGGAAGTGCTCACTGAGAGAACATTTCCTGTCAGTCCAGCCGGATACAGGAAACTGTAGATCCTGTACCGCGGTCCGCTCGGCCATGCTGAAAGAAAGGTAATGAGGCATGCAAGGGAGGGAGGGGAACGGACCGGACCCCTAAGGAGGGGCGGGGAGGGAAGAGAGGAAGACCAAGGGACTGGGGTGGGTGGGCACTAAGAGGCAGGGGAGAAAATGGAAAAGGAGCACTAAGGAGCACTCCCCTCTCTTTAAGGAGGGGACAACTTAAAGAGAGGGGAGAGGAGCACTGAGAGGAGGGGGGGACCACTACGAGATAGGGAGGGGGAGAGGAACACAAAGGGACAGGGAGGGGAACAGAGATACACAAAGGAGGTGTAAGACACACATTGGGGGAAAATAGGGCATAAGATACACTAAAGGGGGTAAGACACAAAAGGGGGGGTTAAGAGGCACACAGGTGAAGATGAAGATTTTTTTTTATTTTTTTTGGGGGGGAAGGGCGCCAATATCATCTTCGTCTATAATCACTGCAGGCTGCTGTAGTGGCCCTGTACAGACCTGGATTGCTCAAGGAAGCTAACAGCTAACACTATAACACTAGTACCTTTTTTACTTATAAGATGTCAGATCCACAAACAGGAGTCATAGTGTTTTGTCTAATCGTAACGCACATGTTGTCCTATTTCACCGTGTAACAAAGAATACTTGTTCTTAGTGCCAGCCTTGTGTGAATTATTTATTAGGATTTTGAGTAATTTACCCATCTAAGGCTTCTCTCCTGGTAACATTATATACTGCGGAGACAATTTGATGTCACAAGATCACTAACAAATGAAGATAACATCCAAAATAATGTTACATTATAAAAAGGTTATACAAGAAGCAGGGGAACATTGTAAAAATAAAATAAAGGCATCAGTCACAGCAGACGTTACAGAGCCTGAGAGTAATACACTTAAAAATGGCATAGTTATAGAAAGGGATATATCACTAATTATAAAAAATAAATTAAAAACAAATAGCGTGTTTCTGTGAAATAAAGGCACTTTTTTTTATGCAAAGTTAGTGTTTCTCATGACGTGCATGACGTGCACAGGGTATAGTGACCTTTCTTTTGACTCGAGGTTGTTCTAGTCTTATCTATATATTTTATTAAGTTTTAATCCGTCAGTTTGGAATCACTATGTCATCTACTACTGTTTTATTTCAAATGTATAATTCCCCAAACATCAGTCTTGATATGTTGTTCTCACAATCTTTTCACTTGGAGATTTTCTCTGCAATTTTGTTTCTGTGTTCTGTTTGGTTGCGTTTTCCTCTCCCACTCTCCAAAATATTGTTTTGTTTCCACTCTGATCTCATCTCATGGTGTCTGTTCCATTTTAGTTTGTCTGTTGCCCCTGAAATTCATATGTGTACTATCCCTCTTTTAGACTCTGTTGACCCTCTTGGAATCTCTTCCTCTCTCCTTGTGGTTTCACCTGCCCCCTTTATTGCCCTTTCTATAACCATTGCAGTCTAATTGTCAGTTTTGTTTTCCCTCAAAAAAGGTACAAATACATGAACTTCCCAGCTGCACACTAGTCAGAATTATTATATTTTTCCCTTTTTCACTGTAGTCCTGATTATCCCCTTTATGGAACTGTCAAGCCTACTTTTAGCCCAGCTGTCCCTTTTGACCAGCCCTTTAGTCCCAATCGTACTTCATGCAGACCACCTGCAGTCCTGATTATCTCTTAAGGAAGCTCACCTTTAATTTCAATAGTTTATTTTGTAGTCCTGATTGTGTTTTTTTACTCCAGTGCAAATGT